TAACTGACAAAAAAAAGTTTATTATTGATAAATAATAATTTTTTAGAAATAAATAAATTTTAATAGATTTTAAAATTGAAATTGGCCAAAAATGTATATTATAAATAAATAAAGATATTTTAAGAGGGATTATGGTGTCTTAATATATATATATATACATGTATACACAAATATAGCAAAATAACAAATAAAAAAATATTTAAACACAAAATTTCAAATATCTTGAGAAAACGACCTAATTTTAAAAAACGGATTACACCACTGATTTCTACACCCAAAAATTAGGTTTACATGTCCCGGCGTTTTTTTGTCTTTTTGGTATTTCTCAAAATGTACACAAATAATAAACCAAAAAGTTACAAAAACTTAAGTATTAAATATCTTAAGAAAACGAGCTAACTTTAAAAAACTGATTACACCACTGGATTCTACGCCCAATAATTAAGTTTACGTGTACCGGCGATTTTTTGAGTCTTTTTGATGTTACTACTGTGTAACTATTAAATTAGTCAGTTTTGTCTTATTCATATTTAGAGAGTAGCTCTTCAAATAAAAAAACATACATAGAAGGATACTTAGTGAACATTGTATAATATTTTTTCTACACTGTAGGCCTTAAATTTGTTTCCTAAATTCAAAGACACAACTAAATGACTTTTCAAGTTGTACTTTTTCTAAATATTTAAAATTACACCCCCCATGTGGAAAAAACAAAGGGCCCAAGATTGGCCCAGACTTGGACCAATTTTACACTACTCTGGCTCTAGCTTGGAAACCTGACTACAGTTCAAGGTTGGGTAAGTCTCGAAATGATATCTTCGTGCCAAGCCTGTAATAGTAATATTGGGCCAAGACTGGTAATGAACCTCTGGGCCAGGAGAAATTTTGGGTGGCAAGAACAGACCAAACTTGGTATTGAAAGTCTGGCTGAAGCTAGGCCAGAGACTCGGTTTTAAAAGCCTAACAGGGGCTTAAACACATACTTGTAATTTTTAAATATCCCAATTTTTTGTTTTTATTTTGGTCAGAAGTATTTTAAACAATACAATCTGGATTTTTAATTTTTTGATATCTTTTGATTCAAAAGTTTTAAAATAAAGATTCTATTATAATATATTAATGTACCTATAGGTACATAAAATCATGTCAAAATTAAAATGATAATTTCAAACCAATCATATCAACAAAAAAGCATATATTTTGAATTATAAAATATATGAGAATAAAAAATTTAAATAAATGGTAAAAACCCAAAAAGGATTTTAAAAAAATATTATAAAAAAATTATTTTTAAAACATTAAAAAGTATATAATAGTTATTTACGTGTCAAGCTTTGTAAATGAATCTTTACGGGCGAGTTGGAAGTTTGTGGGGGTTTGCGACGCAGGAGCAAACCCCATAATCCAGTGAGCCTAGTGAAGATTAATTGCAAAGCGTGACACGTACAAACTTTTATTTTTACCTTTGGATAACGATTTTCAATTTTAAAATTTCAATTAATGTGTCAAATTTGTCATTTCATTTCATAAATCGCTTTTCTACAAGCCTGTAAAACTTTACAGGTCTTTTATACAAGCCCGTAAAATATTACAGGACTGTTCCCATAATGTATCGTTTACTTGGATACAAAAACAACAAAATTAACCTTTAAAATGTCATTTACTAAGAAGGTGGAAATAAAAGTATTTATGCACGCTGACATTATAATATGACAATTATAACAAAAATTCTTTGACGTAAACGTCTTTTTATAGCCCGCGGGCATTATTATGACCCAGCGGGCTATAATGAAACTTCAAAAATTAAAAACAACAATGTTACACCATTTGATATATTCGAAGTAAGTTTTTTCGTATAAAGATTTTAATTTTTCCGCCAGCAGGCCCCAATTTTTCGCCTTTTCAGCTGCTTCCTCAATTTCATTCATCTTTAAACTTTAAAACTGACTGATGTCAGTTGACATTATAATATGACAATTATAACAAAAATTCTTTGACGTAAACGTCTTTAAAAACTATAATATATTAAAAATAATAATATATTAATCGTGCATAAAGTTTTGTATGCATTGCTGGCATAACTGGTTTTTATGGTCCTACGACGCCTCGGACCATAAAAACCTTATTATGCCCTTAATACATAAATAACTATTATTTCCACCTTCTTAGTAAATTACATTTTATAGGTTAATTTTGTTGTTTTTGTATCCAAGTAAACGATACATTATGGAAACAGACCTGTAATATTTTACGGACTTGTATAAAAGACCTGTAAAGTTTTACAGGCCTGTAGAAAAGCAATTTATGAAATGAAATGACACATTTGACACATTAATTGAAATTTTAAATTTGAAAATCGTTGTCTTAAGGTGAAAATAAAAGTTTGTACGTGTCACGCTTTGCAATTAATCTTTACTAGGCTCACTGAATTATGGGGTTCGCTCCTGCATCGGTCACCCCACAAACTCCCAGCTCGCCCGTAAAGATTCATTTACAAAGCTTGACACGTAAATAACAATTTTTTAACATTCTATTAACATTTTTAGTCGATTACCTATAGGGAAATATATCTATATATAATGATATCTAGATATTATGATATCTACCCACATATTATGATCCATGATCAAATAAAGTCGTTTTATTATTAATATTATTATTATTATTATTAATTAAATATTTGTAATTTTAAATAATTTAAAATGAATATACAAACAAAATTCTTAAAACATTGTTTACGAACAAGTGTTCTTGAAAAATACCAATTTTTTGCAATACCCTTTTTTGTGAACCTTGTCTTTGAGTAAGGAAGTAGAGTTGTCAATACCTTGAGCACCTGGAGAAGTCAAGCGGCGTAGGAATAACCATTTAGACAGAAAACAGACACAACAACGAGTTTAGTTTTCAAGGTAAGGTACATTGAACAATCTTATGGAACATTATGGACATTTATCAAAGGTCTTTACGGACAAACAGGATATACTCGTATAACAACAAAAGGACTATGCCAATCAACAAGAAACAAGTTAAAGGTTTGATTTTAATATTAAATAAACTTTGTATACAAAGTTATATATAAAAATTGCATTGTTACCTTTTAATTAGCCAGTCCAAAAACAGTGGACATTTTGGATAAGCGTAATATTATTTTTGGCGATTTAAACTCTCTTCAAACGATTAATCCGATTAATAATCCGCATTAACGATATGTGGGATCCGAAATTTAATGATTTAAGTTAACCCAATGTAATTAAAGGGCTCGATAAACTTATTAGACCGATACAATACTCATTTTCAGTTAAGATAACGTGTGCTCAAGCAATTTGGTATTTTTGTTTAAACAACTGAATATCATTTTTTTTATTTAAATAATTTACAATTTTTTTTCTAGAAGCGCTATACTGGGTGTCCGTTTTAACTTATCTTATTTTGGAAGTTTTAAAAGCTATCAAGAAGATTTGGGCAGATTTATAAAAGTGCCCAAATAATGTCTGATTTAGAAAAGGCTACCCTTAACTTTTTAAATAAAAAAATAAAATAAAATTTCCTTTCAGATCATTGATAACAACCAACTAAAGTTCTTTTTTTTATCTGGACTGCGGCAACGTTGCAAATTTAGGGTTTTGGTTGGTAAATACAGTTGTCAAGTTGGCCGCATTGATTAAAACAAACTAAGCTAGTTATAAATCTAATTGTGGTTACGTATAAATTATTGTAGGTTACATTGTGCAGTTGTTAAGTTGAGTTGTGGAAATTCGTAGTTAAAAATGCAATTAATTTGGCTTTGATGGTGCTTGGATGAGTGAAATCATATAAAAAAGTAGTTAAATATAGGTTGCTTTACGGCCCAGAAGAGAAAGTTTTCCTAGCGGATAATAATCTTCGCTTTGAAAAGAATTTATATAAAAGAAATTAAATTGTTGTCCAATAGTGAATAATGTGAAAATAATATGATGTAATATTTATAAAACCAAATTCGTTACTTTTTTACTTCAAAAATGTCCATAAGGCGATGTACTTTTTCTTCCATTGTGGCATTTGGCATAATTTCATCAAAATGAAGTTTTGCCCTCAAAAGGGCTTTTACATTCGAATTCGTTGCTATTATTTTTGACACAATTATCTTTTTATTTATAATTGACAAGTAAATTATCAATAATAAATATTATTTTCAAGTTGACAGTGTCAAAGTATGTAATTAAATTCTTTAGCAGAAGTACCATTTTAAATACTAAAAATACCAAGTCAAACTGGCATAAGCCACCAACCTAACAAAAAAACACGAGTCCAGATTAAAAAAATGAACTGTATGTATCTTTAAAGATAAGCGATTGAGCTAAGCTTTTTTATGAAATAAAAACTTATTATGTCGTAGAACACTTGTTTTATTTAAACATGGCTTACATTAAAAATAATGATAAGTTTTGACCAGCCATTAAAATAAATTAAAAAATGAGGTTTTTTTTTATTTTAAAAGTAAAAACATGATTTACTAATCCAAAATGTCACAATGTTACAAAAGGGTATATACACACCACATTGAATATAGGGATGAATAATTATTGGGGGGGGATGAGGGGTTTTTCGTATGATGGAGAAAACTTGCACAGGTCACAACACAGGAAAACAGGTTTTTATGGTCTGTAAGGGTGAACATTTACGGCTTAAACATAAAAATAAATTGAATGTTTGATAATTAACGAGAAAATCATTTCGTTCAACGAACTTTAAATAACGTTTCGTAGCAGTGGTTTATTTGAGTCAAAGTTGCAACAAAAGGTAATCTGATTTTAGTCCACCTCTGATAAAAATATTTTGTTATAAAAATGGTTATACTGGGCATTTTCAAAACACCCTGTAGAAATAACTCGAATTTTATTTTAAGGATCGAAATGATTTTCTTTTTTTAATGACAAATTTTGTTATAATATCACTTTTCCATGATAACAAAATTTACCTTTAAAATCTGTTTTAAAAATATACCAAAGTGGTGATCTTACCAAGTCGGATACAAGCGGTATTGACTTTCTTCTAGGGCGAATATCCGGCATGCTGTCAATGTTGCTGTAAAATGGATTATCCCCAGGATGCCTAAAATAAAAGAAAAGAATAAATGAAGGTGCAATTTAAATATTTAAAACAACAGCAAAAGGAGATTTTTTTATAAATTCATTAATATTTTTAGTTTAGTAAATAGTATATTATGTATTAAACAAGTAACATACTATTATCTAAAAAATTATTTAAATTAAATATTTGTATGAAGCGACATCTAAACGAAAATAAAGTAACCATCCCAATGAACATTTTTGACATTTTTGACAACATTAACATTGCCCGTTATTATTTTAATTAAACCTAACAATTATTGATACTTTCAAATATTAAAATAACTTCAAAATATGACTATGTTAAGAAAATATTTTATCCTTTGATTTTTTTTATTACTATAATCGCAAAATATTATCCCAAAGTATAAAAAATTCTTACACTGGAAATGTTAAAGATACAAAAAGTGACAGATGTATTTATTGGAATTCCCGTTAGAATTTCCAACTTGGAAATCTACCGGCTTTAAAATCTCAAATTTTTCTGTGTAAATCAAAAATTATCCCTTGAAAATATACTACCAATCGATATAGAAGCAGTTTTTCACAGTAAAAGAGAAGAGAATATTTTATGGGGACTGTACGCAAAATTTTTAACGCTTTATCAGTTAAATATTAATAATAATAATATTAATAATAATAATATCTTTATTTACGGTTAAACCATTACATACACTACTACGTCAAAATCAAAAGGTTAGTACAAACTTTCATATAATCTTTTCAAATATTGGCATCAAGAAACTATTTAATACTTTTGTATTTTTGTATTGATATAATAAAATAAAAATTTTGTTCACATTTTGTATTATTTTAACGATTGTATGACATTTGACAACTGTCAACTAACTTAAAACTAATTTTAGCCCGTGACTAAAGCGCCATACAGCCACAACTTGTCAATGTGTATTTAAAAGGTCATTTATTGTCAAGAAAACATGTACATGCGTTTTAGAGGCGGGAGTAGAAAAACAATAATAAACAATTTTTTTAATGACAAAAACAAGACAAAGTTTATCTAACTTTATCTAACATTTATCAAATTAATTAATTACAACATTACGAATTAATCTACATAAAATTTAATAATAATTAAAAAAGTTTGCCCCTCAATAATATTACCAACCTTTTTATCGATTAGTACTTTTCTAATTATAGAAGCATTTTCGTATTAATATTGGTAAAAAAGTTTTAATTAATTAGTCGTGTTTTAACTTTCTTGAGTAAAAAAAATCGAAAATATTTTTTTTATTTTACTAATCCTAAGAAACAAAATTTTGTATCTTCTAATATAACACATATAATAGTTATTTATGTAATTAGGTTAAGAAGTAAGGCTTTTTGTGCTAAGCTCAAGGTTTGAAGGCCAACGCGTAGCGGAGGCCTACAATTGAGCGAAGCACAAAAAGGCACTTCTTGGCCGAATGGCATACAACATTTTATCTTCAAAGCCCTTTTTATAGGTCAATTTAATTCAACATCAAAGCGGCCTAACCTCACTTTTTTAGAATCTCATTTATTTATTAGCTAAAGATTACATTAAATGTACAATAATTATTATTGCTTTTAGAAGCAGTAATAGCAGTAAGTAGAAATGGATTTTTGCTATTACATTGAATTCAATTAATTGTTTAATAAATAGGTAGGTATCTTATTTCAATTTGTTTGGATTTTTATTTAAAAAATTGGTGGTTTGGAATGTTTAAGCTGTGTTTAACATTTAATTTCACTGAAAACTTAAAGCAAATTAAAACTTAAAGATAATTTAAATCGTAGAAAAAGAATCGTGCGTTTTCTTGGTTGCCTAACCTCACTTTTTGTTTTATTTTTCATATTTAATTTTACAATAATTTAATGAAAAATATTAAACATTAACAGTAAAACAAAGAAATTAGTGCTTATTATAAAAAAATTAAACCAGTTTAGTACGTTAATTTCTTAGAAAAGGATTAATTTGTCAAAACAATACCCCTAGCGAGAAAAAATCGAACTAATTACTTGCCTCATAAAATTTTTTATCGGCCTAGGCCATAACACAACTTTACCGAATGTTGACAACATTAAAGTTTAAATTATAGACCGCGTGGAGATAAATATTATTATTAAGTTTTCTTGGAGTGCGTCACATATACTTTACAAGAATTTGACGCTATAAATAAGGCGAAAATAAGCGCAATCCTAATCTTCAGGACATGATGACTTTTTGCGTTAGTTACGATAAAACAAATTATTCTTTTTTTTTTGTTAAATTATTAAACAAAAGTTTTTTTATACCAAAGTGCCAATTATTTTGCAAACGGAATAGAGAATAAACGTGAAATTTTGCTTGTGACATAAGGAAGCTATTCATAGTCACTGTGCGAATATTTCTGACATTGGTTGCAATATGAAAATATGGAATGTTCCTGCTTAAAAACCCCAATGTAACTACTGAATTAATAAACGCTTGATAAAAAAAGTATGTACAACACGGTGAAGAAAGCTGAGCTCGGCTATAATATAGCGCATATATAAGTAGCATTTATAGTGGTTAAAACGTGTTGGCCACTTACACTGAAAAAAATAAGCTGTTTAAACAACAACAAAAATATTAATTCAACTCTTTATGCACTTTAAATACAAGCAATGGTTTTTGCACGTTTACTTAACCATCTAAAAATGTCAAATTGTATTGTTTAATTGAACAACAAATAACAGTCAAATGAACAAAATGAGAATATTTGTTCTAATCTGCTAATTTGGTTAATTTAACATTCTTAGGGTATTAAGGTGAATTTCTTGAAAGGTAACCTTTTTAGCATATTCACTTAACACAAATAAAATGTTAAATTAACATTCTGAAAATTTAAAATTCTTTAAAGGTTGGTATCCAAAACAAAATTATGGAAATAATATATTATTATATATATAAAGAGAAAGAATTGAACCTTCACCTCGCCCAGAGTTTTTGTTTTGAGCGTGTTCCACCTACTTTAAATACCGACAGACAGCTGTTTCGCCCTGTATTGAGGGTCTTATCAGTGTCGGGCAATATGGTGTAGTGAAAGTTCCACTGTGGAACACACCTAAAACAAACAGCTACCTGATCTTATATACCCCTAATCGTAAGCCAACTAAGTTGAGATGTAAGAACACGTCATCGTCTAATGGCGTGGCGCGGGTGTTCGAAGCGCCATTCTCGGCAATTTTATGAATGCAAATTTTACATTTTAAATTTTAAAGTAACATTTACAATTTGTTAAATGAACAAATTTAATGTTTTGGATTAAAGAGCAACTAAACGTTAATTTAATAGTTTTTTTAGGTAATCCTAAACATTTCAGTGGTCGATTCAACCTATTCCAGCTATTAAATCAAAATAGGATAAACATTTTAATTCAAAATATTAGTTTATGTTAATATTTGAACTGTCAAATGAACAAATAAACTTTGACAAACTCTGACTATTGCTTTAACACCAAAATATAGATTAATCCAATAGGTTTTTTGTTGAAACAACATTTTCAAAAATGACATTTAGGCAAATGTTAACTCAACTACATTATTTTTTTCGGTGTATACTTGGAACTGTAAAGTATATTGCCAAAATCTCTGCCACGTGGTAGAAACGGTTCTATTACGTGGAAGTAACTAAAATGGGGAACACTTTTTTATTAACATGGCCAAAACTTAATCATAACTTTACTAATATTTACTTTCTATCCCCGTCTCTTTCCAGCATATTATTTATCTTATTATCTTTGCTTTCTCTGACTGGATATTAAACTAACACTGAATTATAATATTGTAAGAGTACAACTTTCAAATAATAACTAGAATTAAAATAATCCAAAGACATAAAAGTAACACGAATTAAATTTTACTGTCAAACATGGGTATCATAGCTTGAAATATAAGCACGCCCTGTTGAAATATGTGGGAATAAAAAAGAATAAAAAAATCTGTAAACTTAGCGGATATGAAAATTATTTATATAGAGGCTTAACATATTTTTTTATTAGTTCTGGTCACCTGAAACCAATAAATAGGTATTAACGTGTTAAATTTGGTGCGGTAATAACCAGAATTATTTGTTTAAAACTACACATTTATTTCCCTACAATGGCGATTATTTGTAAACATGTTTAAAGAAGGGAACTTTAAAGTGGTAATTTTATACGAAATGTGGAAATTACTTAAGCATGTAGCAAGAACGTGGCAATCACTACCGCAATTATATAATCAAGTTTTGCCACATTCAAGGTTTGGAAAAAGTTGCGAAAACGTTACCAAAAATGATATACACACTTTACTGCTACTACCACTTCAAAGTAATACTTAAGTGATGTGATTTGCAACCATGATTACAGTTACTATTCATAATCCAGCCTAAAGTTTAGACAACTTTAAGGTGGTGTCAAAAGTGGTCATAACATTTCAGATACCAGACTAATACACCAAAAAGTTATAAAACTATAAAGTATATTCTGCTGGTGCAAATCACATGATTACAACTATGCTAATATAATATGGAGATATTTTAACTGTATCGTGGTAGATTTAGTTATTTAAACTTTATTACCGCTCATTTAAAGTGGTGATATCAGTTTTCGTCACTATAATGCAACTTGGGGTAAGGGAACTTTTTAAAATTAAAAAAATAGAGCATTATCTGACAGATAGAGCTCTCAGTGGCGGCTCGTCAGGGTAGGCCTCTGAGGCCGCACCTCACCCTTAAAATAAAGGAACGAACGACTTTTTGTATTTATATTTTTGCCTATTACAAGTGTATTTTTACAACAATTCTACCCAATAAAAAGTAAAAAACCAATCAATCATATTAAGCGTAGGTAAATAAAAATCCAGGCGCAAAGCGCGTCAAGTTAACGTGCATCGTTGAGTCGCTTGGACAGAGGCGAAATTTTCACAGCCTCGGAAGCTCCCATTTACCCCTTGAAAGCGAAAATGACTCACCAACAAAAATATCGGCGTAAGTTCGCGAAT